ACTCACTTCTCACCACACACCCTCCTGTACTCACCCACTCCCCACCGCACACCCTCCTGTACTCACTCACTCCCCACTGCACACTCTCCTGTACTCACTTCCCATCACACACCCTCCTGTACTCACTTCTCACCGCACACCCTCCTGTACTCACCCACTCCCCCCGCACATTCTCCTGTACTCACTCCCCACCTCACATTCTCCTGTACTCACTCCCTACCTCACACCCTCCTGTACTCACCCACTCCCCCCGCACACTCTCCTGTACTCACTTCTCACCGTACACCCTCCTGTACTCACCCATTTCCCATTGCACATCCTCCTGTACTCACTTCCCACCACACACCCTCCTGTACTCACTTCCCACTGCACACCCTCCTGTACTCACTCACTTCCCACCACACACCCTCCTGTACTCACTTCCCACCATACAAGATAAAGAACACACAGGGCCTAAGGGATGTGCCCACTTGAAGCCTGTGCCTCATCGCCTTCTAGGCCATGATCCAGATAGCTCAGACCATAAAGTCCCTGCCAAATGGTCTGTAGTTCAACACCAGGGCCTTTTCTCAGTCATAATTCCTGAAGGCAGACCATGCCATCAACTGTATGTCCAACCCAAAGAGTGCTGAGAAGTGGCCATTAGTTGGGCATATAGAAGGAACTTGGATGTAGGGCCAGTGGTGTGCATAGGTCTTTCAAAATGCAATTTCTCTCACCCAAGGGTGGGAGAGGAAGGGGCAGGCCTCAGACCAGGCGCTGGCTCTCTCTACCATACCTAAAATTCTAAGAACTCTAAATTAGATCTTGGACTTACAGACCTTCATAAGAATATATTTGTCAGGACCAGCAGTTAGCATAATGGCTATGTCACTGAACTCCCATGTAGCCGACTGCAGTTCAAGTAACGGACCAAGTGGCTTAAACTCATGCTGGGTGCATGTGCGTGTGTGCCCAGGATCCTGACAGGGAATTGAGGAGAAAGGATTGCAGCATGGCCATCCCCCCTGAGGGGTGATTTCTTGCTTTCTGTCTCTCTCCGTCTGTCTGGCGAGTGCACGCACCCTATAGCAAAAACCTCAATATATATATATATATATATTTGTCAAGGTAGAAGGAGAGAGAATATATTTTATTTTGTAAGCTTGCTGCATAACTTTAAAGTATATAGACATATCTGGGCTTCCATTGTATCCCTGCCCCAAGGCCCCAACCCCAACTTCTTATTTGCTGGCACTGCAAGAAAATAAAGTTCATCTTCTACTCTTCTGTTCCAGTCCAAGGAGCTTCTATTACTCTCAAGTCCTTTTAATATTCAATAATTACAATAATTGCAAGCTAGATTATAGACTAAAGTGAATTTACCAAAATAACTATTCGGTGAGGTTTGGCTCCACCTAAGTGGCTAGCTTAGACACCTAGGCATCATCTATAGTTCACCGACTATGAGGAAAAGCAACAGGATTATATCTGATTATACCTGTAAATAATATAGTTTTGAAATAATGGAGGTAAAACATTTTTAAATACCAAGTACCTAAAATATAACAAAATATATATTAAGACCAGACATCAAAAGATCATTCTTACAAGGTAGATTAGGAAGTGATTAGTCATTTTTTTTTAAATGGTCAGAGCATGTATATGCTCACCAGAGAGAGACAAGAGAGACAGAGAGAGAAAGAGGGGGAAAGACCTTTATCCCAATGGGGTGTGGTCACACTGCAATCCCTTCTCCTCCATTTCTCCATCCTGTCAGGATTTGAGGCATGCACACACATATACCCAGCATGTTTTTTTAAGTTGCCAGGGCCAGGATTAGAACCCTTTCAGCTATGAGGAATCCAGCTATGGTTTAGCCTAGAAGACTATGAATTACTGGTTTTATCAACTCTATCACTCATCTTGGTAAAAGGAAATGTTTTAGATAGTCACTCCTTGCTTAATGACAAGTTCCAGTCCTACAACTAGTAAAGTGAATTGATCAATAAGTGAGGAGCTTAAAAGCAGATGTTTGGGGGCTAGCAGGTGGTATGGTAGTTAAGACACTAGACTCTCACATGGCCAGCAGCAGTTCAAGTCCCAGATCTGGTAACTTGCTTTGCTTTCTGTTTCTCTCTGTCTCTCTCTGGACACATGCCCTATAGCAAACTTAAATAATGGTAATAGATAAAATAAATAACTCATGTTTTTTAAAAGCGGATGTCTTGTGGTGTGTCATGACACCATAGGGTATCTATTTTTCAGTAGATAGAATGTAACATGACATTAGAACGACGTAATTCTACCCATACAAAAACATACATTAGATAAGTGCCAGAAAGTGACAAGACACAGCACAATACAGTAATAACTATCTGGTATAATTGTTCCTATTTATTCTGAATACTTCTATGAATGCACAACGAAGAACAAATCTATAAATGAAATATGTAGTCTTGCATGATTGTGAACACCTCATGTACTGAATACTAACCAATTACAGGACTGAGACAAAGTCTGAGAAAGGGGATTCCTAAGATTTATACAGACTGAGAAAGGGGATTCCCTGCACTGGAGAACTGGCCTAAGCCCGTGGGGTCATTAAACAGGCAGGTTGTTAGTGAGGGTCATTAAACAGGCAGGTTCTTAGTTAGTATGTATCCCACTATATACTAACTCTGTGTCCTCATGAGTTGCCCGCTGCTCTTTGCCTCAGTTTCTCCTCTGTAAAAAGCAGTAACAGCACTGACCTCACCGGGTTGTTAAGAGACATCCCTACAAAGCAGCGCAGTGCCTGGCTTAATGTAAGAGCTCACCCCTACAAGATATTTCAGGACCAGTGGTTGGTGTGGTGGTTAAGGTGCTGGGCACTCCCACATGGCTGACCACAGTTTGAGACCCGGACATTGGGGCTTGATTTTTCACTTTTCCTCTCCCTCCCCCCCCCCTCTCTCTCTCTCTCTCTGTGTCTCTAGTCAAATTAAAATAAAGTTAAATTTAGAAAAAAAAAAAAAGGTATTTGGGACCAGCAGTTAGCGTAATGGCTATGTTGCTGGACTCCCACGTAGTTGACCACGGTACGAGTACTGGACCCGGTGGCTTAAACTCACGCCAGGCGTGTGTGCATGCGTGCCCAAGACCCCAAGAGGAGAATGGAGGAGAAGGGATTGCAGCATGGCCATCCCTACTGAGGGGTGATTTCTCGCTTTCTGTCTCTCTGTCTTTCTGGCGAGCGCACGCATCCTATAGCAAAAGCCTCTCAAAAAAAAGAAAAGAAAAGAAAAAAGATATTTGTTTTTACCTGTACAGAGTATGGCTATATGACCAAATAGATATAATATATATGCATATGTTTTATATATATACACATATATATAATAGATAAACACACACATACGTGCATACGAGGAAAGGGGTTTAGAAGTTCCCTGGGATGCATGAAGCATTTCCCCTTAATTGAGCAAACAAATAGTGATAATAAAACACGATTTAATGCATTCCCTTTCTGAGTATCTGCTATACTCAAGAAACCTCAGGGAAGTTGCAGGTTCCTGGGGAGAAATGGAACGGGGGAGGGGGACAGAGGGCAGAGGGATGCGCTCCTATCAGCAGCACAGTTGTTTGGCTCCCTCATCTTGGTTAACTTTAGATACACAAATATTTTGTTCCTAGTTCCTATGTGAATTCACCTGCTCTAGCTTCTTTATTTGTACTACCATCTGGTGGCTTGGTTAATTTTTGACTAACGTCCAGTGAGCAAAGGCTCATTGCCGTGGACCTCGCTAGGTTCCACCATGGTACACCCAGAGAGAACGTTACAGTGAGTCCTGAGCTTCTAAAAATAACCTGGAACCCTATTAGTGGCAGTATTAACCCTTTTCTTTTTTTTTTTTTTTAAGTTTTATTTCTTTGTGAGAGAATGTGCACATGCATGTGAAAGAGAAAGAGAGACACAGGCACTCTTAAAGGTCTCGTCATGCCGAGATCACCTTTTCTTAGCCCCGGGGCTTGCTAGGATCTCAGACACCGCACACCCGGCATGTTTTCAGGTTGACTTGAGACCTTAACCCATGTTCAGCCATGTGACTCTGGCACTGCATTTCCAGTGCTGCCCCACTGAGGCTGGGACAGTATTTACCTCTCTGAAGGACAATTTAGATGTATGTAACTAAAGACTTGAAAGTATACATTTCATGCCTGAATAGTAACTACAATCCTAGAATTAGTCCTGTGAAAATAGGAAAAGAATGTGAAAAATGTACGCACAAGAATATTCATCATAACATTGTTCATAATAGCACGTTAGAAAGAGCTTTTATATCTAATAATGAATGATGGCTCAAACTGGAAGAGTTATTCAACAGAAAAGTATGTGACGAATAAAAATAATAAGTAAGTCTACATTCAATACTATGAAAAGATGATCATAATGTTTTCTTTTAAAAAAATCACATATTATTAAAGAGAACACATGGGATCCCAATTCTCATTTTGGAATACATGACATGTGCATCCACTGTGATACTTGGAACCATGTGTAAGTAGAGATATGTAGGAATAGAAAGATCTCTACCAAAAGAATTAGGGATGGTTTTAGATTTTCTTCTTTATACCTTCCCCACCCCCATACTTTTTTTTAAACAATAATCATATACTACTTTTACGGTCACCAAAAGCTTAAATACCAATCAACCAATCATTGAATCATAAAGAATCTCAACATCTGACTTACTCCTTATCTTGAGCCCTGATGATAATTGCTAGAATGTCCTGGCATCAAAGGAGGGAAGCATACTACTTCTTTTCAGAATAAAGGAAGGCCTAAAATTCTCAGATCAGAGAGCCCTGAGAATTTTCAGGATATGATATCAGGCATACCTAGTTAGCATAACCTTGAGGTCCAGAAACTTTCAATAAAGGGGAAAAAAAAAAAAACCCACACACACACACTTCTCTGATATGGGTTCTCTTAAACAGTATAGGTACTATACAAACATTGAGGTTAACAAAAAACTTACTGCAGTGGATAATCTGGATGCCAATGTCATCTCCAAGTTCCCTTTGAGACCAAGAAGTGCAGGAACTAAAATGAAAACTTCTGTTACTTTTTTGAATACCTCCCAGTGCTGTAAGAAAAAAATAACAATTTTTAATACTCTTTAAAAGAAAACACTTCAAGACAGACATTTCTAAAAAATCTCAGCTTCCTTCCAAGTTTGCCTATTTTGAATGATTTTCATTTAGCTTAAGCCTACCCTTTTGAGCTTCAAAGCTTTGAGTTTCTTTCAAGTTCGGAACATTTGCATTCAAGTTGGGGATGACAGCTGATACAGTTCCTATGTCCCATTCCACAAATGGCTTGCTACACAACTCGGATACTCTTAAATGCTTCTTTATCCCTTTAGGATGGCAAGTGAGAATAGCTAGTGGGCATGAGCAAAGACACTGAAACCAGATTGTCTGGATTTGAATCTTAGTTCAACACTAATTACAGCAACCTCTCAGGACAATTTTAGTCCTGTTATTAATTTCACAAGTGAAGAACTAAACATTCAGAAGCTAAATGACTTTTTCCAAGGTCAATGATGGGACCTAGTGTTGATGTCAGGAGTTCTGAATGGTTCCATGTTCTGGTGTCCATTTTAAATGTGAGACAGAGAGGATACAGAACACAGGATCATAAGAAGAGCACTGGGGGGACCAGCAGTTAGCGTAATGGCTATGTCGCTGAACTCCCACGTAGTCGACCGTGGTTCGAGTCCCGGACCCGGTGGCTTAAAACTCACACCAGGCGTGTGTGTGTGCGTGCCCAAGATCCCGAGAGGAGAATGGAGGAGAAGGGAATGCGGCATGACCATACCCCCTGGGGGGTGATTTCTCGCTTTCTGTCTCTCTGTCTCTCTCTGTCTGGCGAGCGCACGCGCCCTATAGCAAAAACCTCTCAAAAAAAAAAAAAAAAAAAAAAAAAAAAGAAGAGCACTGGGGCCACCAGGTTGCATGGAGGTTAAGGCACTAGATCCCACGTGGCCAGCTGCATGACTTGAGTCCCAGGCCTGGCAGTTTGAAAAATCACAATAAGGTGTATATGTGTGCGTGCTCAAAATCCTGAGAGGAGACTAGAGGAGAAGGGATTGCGGTGTGGTCACTCCCCCTAGGAGGATGATTTCTTAGTCTCTCTCTCTCTCCAGTGAATGCAGGCCCCTATAGCAAAACTCTAACAACAACAACAGCAAAAAGGCACTAAACCAGAAGTGAGACTTCTGCATCTAGGCGGATTTCTCATTGCTTGGCTATGTGATGAGAGATCATGAACTGTGTGCAATCTGGTGTGTCTCTTGTTAGAGAGATGAGTTGTGTGTATTTCTCATCGCAATTCTTCACCATGAAATGAAGATAGTATCTATCCTGCCTAGCCTCCAAAGGAAACCGTGGTAATAAAAATAACAAAGATTAAAGCACTTTCTACATTGAGGAGGCCACATACACATCTCAACATCACAAAGTGATATTTTTCAAATGCCATTAAGAGGTGATTGTCCAAGTGAGAGATTTTATGAATTAGGCATATTAACTTTCTATTTTTTTGTTTGTTTTTTTTGTTTTGTTTTTTGAGAGGTTTTTGCTATAGGGCGTGTGTGCTTGCCAGACAGAGAGAGACAGAGAGACAGAAAGCAAGAAATCACCCCCCAGGGGAGATGGTCATGCCACAATCCCTTCTCCTCCATTCTCCTCTCGGGATCTTGGGCACACACGCACATGCACCCAGCGTGAGTTTAAGCCACCGGGTCCGGGACTCAAACCGCAGTCGACTACGTGGGAGTCCAGCGACATAGCCATTATGCTAACTGCTGGTCCCAGGCATATTAACTTTCTACCAAAAAAATCAAGAACACGCATCTTTTCACTAATACCAAAACATGTAAGAAAAGTAAAACTCAAGTCCATCAGATAAATAAAAAATTCTATTTGTTCCCAAAGTTTCTCCAGAGGGTGATCCAAACATGTAAAGAACTGAGACCTAAAAAGAGTTTAGGAAATATTTATCAGATCAGTCTTTCTAAAATTCTGATTCAAAGGATTTGCAAAGGAAATCCCTCCAGGATTCAAACCAATTAAAGGATAGGCCTCAAAAAGTGCCGGAGATACAGTAGTACCCCAGGTTTATAGTCTTAAAAACTAATAAGCAAGGGCCAGCAGGTGGTGTGGTGGTTAAGGATGCTGGACTCCCACATAGCTGACCGTGGTTCGAGTCCTGGACTTGGTAGCTTGCTCGCTCACTCTGTCTCTCTCTTCTTCCTCCCACCCTGGTCAAATTAAAAATTATAAATAAAAAAATAAATAAAGTTAAATAAAATAATTCTTTTGTTTTTGGAGAGGTTTTTGCTCTAGGGCGTGTGCACTCACCAGACAGACAGAGAGAGACAGAAAGATAGAAAGCGGGAAATCATCTCCCAAGGGGGATGGCCACGCCACAATCCCTGCTCCTCTATTCTCCTCTTGGGATCTTGGGCACGCATGCACACACACCCGGCGTGAGTTTAAGCCACCGGGTCCGGGACACGAACCATGGTCGACGACATGGGAGTCCAGCGACATAGCCATTATGCTAACTGCTGGTCTCCAAAATAATTATTTAAAAAACAACAACAACAACAAAAAAAAAACCCACAACACTAATAAGCAGGGGCTGGCACGTGGCATGGTGGTTACAGCGCTGGTCTCTCACACGGCCAACCATGGTTTGGTTGTTCATGTGATCCTGGAGGCTTACTTTCTCACTCTCCTTTTCTCTCTGTCTGTCTCTCTCTGGTCAGAATTAAAGAATGATGATAATAAATAAAATTTAAAATAAATAAAATTTTAAAAACTAATAATCAAACAACTTAGTCAACAGCTTTAATGGGTTAAGGATTCTGGTGTGCTAGTGGAATACTATCTTACAGAGATAATGGAGATAGCAATGTAATAATGATGAATAACAGATGATAATAATAAATATTAACAATATCTAATATTCACTGACTTTCTGTTACATTCCAGGCACTGTTCTTTAGGCATTCTCATTTAATCTTCACAACAAACCTATGAGATAGGCATTATTTTTATCAGATCTCAGACATAATCAATCTACTTAGATGATTTTAGATGCAACAAAACAATATCCAAACATCTCTATTGGCCATGTCCCATCACACCAGTCCTATTTATTAAGTAGTTAAATCCAAACAACTTAATATATGTTTATTTCTTGGACCAGCAGATGGTGTAATGGTTACATTGCTGGACTCCCATGAAGTTAAACATGGTTCGAGTCCAGGACCCAGCAGCTTAAAACTCATGCCAGGTGCATGCACGTGTGTATCCAAAATCTCGAGGAGGATGGGAGAGAAGGGATTGTGACGTGGTCAACCCCCCTGGGGAGTGATTTCTTGCTTTCTAGCTCTCTATCTCTCTCTGTCTTTCTGGCAAGCATACACACCCTACAGCAAAAATCTCTCTTAAAAAAAAAAAGGATAAGTGCTTATTTCCTAATAATTTAGTAGCCATTTAAAGAAATAACACAAATAAATTGAAAGAAATATTTTCATGTCCCCTTTATGTAAATACAAGTTTTTTACTAATGGGATGTGTGTATCTGTTGGGCACTGTACAAATTCTCATACCTTGGAATCGAAAACTCTTCCCTACATTTCTTGTTTTATGTTGGTTTTGGGACATTTGCTTTTTATCATAGCACTGTAGAAAACTCAGTTTTGCACACATGTCACCAAATGGAATGGGATGGAATGGAATGGAATGGAATGGAATTTCATGTTGAAACATTAAACCACCTTTAGCAAGTATTCTGCATGGTGTCCAAGAGATGTCACCGTGCTTTGCTCAAAAATTTAAAATATTCCTGGGGTGTCCTGACACATAGTTTGGGAACTATGAGAGCAGGGAGATGCAGTATAACACAGAAGTCAACAGGAAAGCTCTGAAACCAGATGACCTAGGTTGAAATTCAGATGAAACTACTTATTGTTTGATTTGGGGAAAATGATGCTTTACTTTTTCATCTAGAATGGGAACATAATATATCAGCCTCATTAAGACTGTGCTCTAGGCTGGGCCTGCACACAGTAAGGGATTGAGTGCTTCTTGGATGTAACACCAAGTTGCACACAGTTCATTTTCCCGTCAGGAGGACAGAGAGCTGGTGCCAAAAATAATGTTTACCTCCTTACAGATTTTGCCATGATATAGGCATGTCCTCTGAGGCTCTGAGAGTGCTACAAACTGCCAAACCTGCCCTAAAGGAACTCAGCTTCTAGTCTCACCTGATCTTGTGCTCCTGTCAATAATGCAGAGTCTCAGGTAAGCACGTGTATGTTAAACATAATGCCAGAGTGCTTACATAAAAACTAGGCTCAAAATCTAAGAATCGATTTAATATCCAAAGGGTAAATAAAAATGAAAAAATATGTAAACAATAATAAAGTTGAAGAACACATCTGTAGAGTCCTAACTTTAAGATAACAGGGAAAAAATTAATTGGTAAAAGCAGCTTATGCAATTTTTAAAAATACCTATGCTTAGAACCAGCCACTAGCATAGTGGTTAAGGTGGCTGGTGCCCACATGGCCAATTGTGCAATATGAATCCCAGACCTGACGGCTAGAAAAACATGGCCAGCAATGTATGTGTGCGTGCCCAGAATCCCAAGAAAAGAATGGAGGAGAAGAGACTGCAGCATGGCCAATTTGGAAAGATGTCCAAGGTTTTTGTTTTGTTTTGTTTTGGTAGAGGATTTTGCCTTAGGGTATGTGCGCTCTCCAGAGAGAGATACAGAGACAGTGAAAAGGAAAGTAAGCCATCACCTCCCAGGGGAATGACCAGGCCACAATCCCTTCTCCTCCATCTTCCTCCCAGGATCTTGGGCACACATTCACACATGTCTGGAATGAGTTTCAAGTCACCAGGTCTGTGACTTGAACCGCCATCAGTCATGTGGGAGTCCAGTAATGTAACCACTACGCCGTCTACTGGCTCAGTGGCTAAGGTATTTTATTAAGCAATGAAAATAAGTTGCAGAACAATATATATAGCATTTCATTTTTAACTTTTGAAAAAATAAATTTTCACATATGTATATACAACATGTAAGCAAAGAAAAGATCAGCAAGTATCCACAGCAAACTCTTAACAAAGGTAATTTTTGGAAGTAAGGAGAATTTTCATTTAGCAATGAGGATTAGGGAAGACTCTTCATCTTTAAATTAATTTTAGTGACTACTTGTTAATTTTTATTGAAAAAAATAAAGACTTTGGGCCAGCATGTGGCATGGAGGTTAAGGCACTAGATCCCACATGGCCAACTGCTGGATTTGAGTCCAGGATCCCGGGAGCTTGAAAATCATGCTGGGTAGATGTGCATGGGTGCCCCAAATCTAGAGGAGACTGAAGGATAAGGTCCTGAGGGATGACAATTCTTCGGGGGGGGGGGCGCAATTTATCATATCACTTTCCCTGTGTGGCAAGCATTTTTTTGCCCTACAGCAAAAAAAAGAAAAAGAAAGAAACTAATTTTTTTAAAAGAATATAAATATTACATTTAATTTTCCCCCTTTGCTTTTAAACAGGGTCTCACTATGCTGTAATTCTCCTGCTGCAGCCTCCTGAGTAGCTAGGATGACAGGTGCACACCACCACATTCAGCTTTTTTTATGGTGGTCTGGGGTTTGAACCCGTCTCCCATGTGGCTTCAGCCTCTTCAGTAGCACAGTCTACTGACACATGCCACAATGGTTAGGTCTGGGTTTTTCTTTTAACCAATCAATTTATGGGTCTGAGAAAAGAGTTATCTTATGGCCAAAATGACTATTCTTTTAGAACTTCTAATGGAAGAAAAAAAAAAAAGCACCACCTATAAACAGCAGATTCTCTACAATAGTCCATATTCATTCATTTTACTAACATATATTAAATTCAAAGTTTGAGAACTGTAACCTACATAAAGGATCTTGAACAGATAGGTTACAAAAAAGGTAGTGAGGTTAAACAAAGACGAGAACCCACCTGTACTATATCCAAAACCATGCCTGCTGAGACGGTTCCAAAACCAGCTAGCAAAAATGGCACCAGTATTTGCAATGCCATGATGCCACTGGATTCCTTCGGTAATTTTTGGCTAGTCTCCACAATAGCGTCTTCCTCGCCATCGCTAGACGCATCCTCATCTTGTAACATGGCCGTGGTTTCTGAAGCCTCCCGTCCGTCACAGTAATTGTAGTTGGCATAGTCGTCATACTTGGGGCTACAGCTAGATGGCGTGTGCCCATTATTGCCATGGAAAGACTGCTCTGAAAAGCTGTGATACTCCATGTGCTGCTCGGATCTGTTACTGAATGTCTGCACTGCAGTGGATAATCCATCTTGCCAGATGCCATTTGCTTTTTTGTGCCTGTCTTCTTGGTTTTTTTGGTAAATTACTGGAACCATACTCAACAGTAAGTTCAGAAACTTATCAGATTGAACTGTATTTAAATGAAAAGTCCAGTCTGCAAAACCTCCTCCGCTGCTTGGACCACCACTTGTTTTCTTAGTAATGGATCTTCCTTTACTATTAGTCATATTGTCATCGCAAAAGACCCTGTACCCCTTAGATCTCAAGCTTTATGAACCACAGGGGATGAATCAGAACCCCACAAACGCTGGATTAAATTAAGTTGCCGACTTCATCATGGAGAAAATGATTCCACTAATAAAAGATGTTTAAAAATTCCACAGAGGGAATGGATCTGGAAAAAAAATAATATTAAAAAATCAAATTAACTATTTTGATGCTTAGATTTTCATAACTGAAGGTGTAAAACATGTGTGTCCTTAAGCTACCCCTAAGGTACTGATACTGTATTTTGAGGGCTTCAAACCTAACTGCTTTGTGCCATACAATTGCTGTGCATATAGAAATAAAATATAGGGCTATTTGTTGTGTTCAATTTTGGTTAAAAGAGTTCCTTGGAGGCCAGCAGCTGGTGTAGTGCTTGAGGTGCTGGACTCCCACATGGTCGACCATGGTTCAAGTCCCAGACCCAGAGTTTGAAACTCACACCAAGCACATGTGTGTGCATGCCCAAAATCCTGAGAGGAGAATGGAGAAGGGATTGCAGTGTAGCCATCCCTCCGAGGGTGATGGGCCCTATAGCAAAAATCTCCCAAAAAAAATAAAATAAAAAAGAGCTCTTTATATTTGCACACATTATGTGATTAATACCCATGGAAGGTCTTCAACTGACTCTAGAGTTGTACGGTGCACATGTTTATTAAATAAAATTATAGCTTCTCTTACTATAGAGAGGCTTTGGAAATAAATTGCTATATCCCTTTACATCTGTCAGTATACAACAGAAGTTAAGGTATATGGCATTATGCTTTAAACATTACATAATAAACAATGTTACTTTATTTTACAACTTAATATACACTTTGTTACTAAACCAGCCCCATAATGCAAAGGTTAAGCCCCATGAATAGGGAGCCAAATCCCACATGGCCTACTATGGTTTGAGTCCCAGCTCCAGCTGCTTAAACACATGACAAGCATGTGCACGTGTTAAAAATCCTGTAGTTTACGGAAATAGAAGAAAAAGAAGTGTGGTGTGACCATGTGCCATCTGGGGTCTCTCTCTCTCTCTCTCTGGTAAGTATATGTGCCCTCTGGCAATACACACACACACATATAGATATTAGGTCATTGGGATAGTCATGATGTTTTCTTTTTTTTTTTTAGAGAGAGAGATTTTTGTTATAGGGTGCTTGTGCTCACCAGACAGAAAGAAAGAGTAAGCAAGAAATACCCCCTGGGGGGATGGCCACACTGTAATTTCTTCTCCTCCACTCTCTTCTCAGGATCCTGGGCATGCATATACACACACACCTGGTGTGAGTTTCAAGCCACCAGGTCCAGGACTCGAACTATGACTTTTGCATAGAAAAACATGTCATGACTGGGACCAGCAGGTAGTGTAATGGCTATGTCACTGAACTCCCATATAGTCGACTGCAGTTTGAGTCCCGGACCTGGTGGCTTAAACTCACACCGGACACATGTGCGTGCGTGCCCAAGAACCCAAGGAGAATGGAGGAGAAGGGATTGTGGCGTGGACATCCCCCCTTGGGGGGTGATTTCTCGCTTTCTGTCTCTCTGTCTCTCTCTTTCTGGCGAGTGCATGCACCCAGTAGCAAAAACCTCTTCAAAAAGAAAAAGAAAAACATGTCATGACTTTCCTGACAACTTTATATGTGTATGTATATATATACATATATACACACACATATACATATATGAATGTTTTGTTATTATAATGTTAAGATGATGTTCACTGCAAAAACATTTGGTAAATATCCTGAAAATACTGTCTAGGGCATTTATTTCATGTATAAAATTAGGATGGAGTTATAGTAATAACATACAAAAAAATTCATTTCCCTCCATTTCTCCAACCTGTCAGGATTTAAGGCCTGCACACACATATGCCAAGACTGTTTTTAAGCCTCTGGGGCCAAGATTCGAACTGTGGTCAGCAATGTAGGATCTGGCTCTCTATGCACAGTGCTTAATCGCCATGCTAAGGAGCCAGCCCAAGTATATAGTTTAACACCAAAAACATGGAAAGGGCCCAGCACACTGGCACTGTGGTGGCATGCTGCTTCTCCATGCTGGAGTTGTAGGGAAGGTGGGGTTCAGTTCAAGGCTCTACTTTGTACATGCTGAGCACACGCACGCGTGACTGCCATCCTGGCTGACTTGGAAGGCTGGAGGCTGGACTGTGGCGTGAGATCCTGCTGAGGGTGCTTGTCTTTCTCTCTCTCTCACATGAAAGAGAGTAACTTAAAAAGAAAATAGAAAGAACAAAGTCTCAGACTAAAGGGCAGCCCTTTTCACTGAACAAATCTAGATTCATGACAAAATTCACTCCGTGTTCCTTGTGAAAGTTTTGTAATGATTCACCACTGGTCTACAGAGTCCGTCAGAGGACCGTCAGCTTAACAGAAAAATAAACTTAACAGCAGACACTCTTAATGAATTCAACTTTAGGTACAAAAACAAAACCACTAATGCTATTTTTTTAAACTTTGCCATAGGGTATGTATGCTCAATAGAAAGAAACAGAGAGAGAAAGAAAGCAAGTGAGCGCTCCCACGGGGCATGATCATGCCGCAATCCCTCCTCCTCCATTTCCCCACCACAGTGGGATTTGGGGCAAGCACACACACATGTGTTTTCTGAGCTGTTAGGGCCAAGATTTGAACCACATGGTCAGTCATGTGGTATCCAGGTTCCTTAGCCACTACACCTTGGGGTTGGCCCAATATCGGTTTTTTTTTTTTTTTTAGAGATTTTTGCTATAGGGCGCGAGAAATCACCCCCAAGGGGATATGGCCATGCCACAGTCCCTTCTCCTCCACTCTCCTCTCGGGATCTTGGGCATGTTTGCACACGCGCCCAGCATGAGTTTAAGCCACTGGATCTGAGACTCGAACTGCGGTCAAATACATGGGAGTCCAGCAACATAGCCATTACACTAACTGCTGGTCCCTATTTCCTAAAGTTAAGAAAAAGTAGTAAGTGCTCATTATACGTGTAGCTCTACTAAATCTGAATGCCAAAGAAACTGCCCATCGTCCCAGAGGATGCATTTTATTTCACTGCCAAGGTTAAATAACACAGAAAATCCAGCAGACCTGGTAGACAACAGATATGGTCATGCCTAATTACTAAGCAAAGCATCAGATGGAAGTGTAACTTTGTTATCTTCTGATAACAATTAATAAGTGTTGTAATCTATCAGCAGTAATGATCACATTTAGTCAAAAAAACTCAAAACTTACTGAGTAGGTGATATTATTTGTATAAATACACTAAAAACCACAGTTATGTCTGTCTCTCTCTCACACACACACAAAGTAAAATAATTTGATTTACAAATTTTTTTTTTTTTGCCACTCTGAAAGTACACATTCTACACCTTTCATTTTCTGTTTTAAGGACATGTCTGTCTTCTAGGTTTCTATTTACTGTGAAAACATACATAGTTACAAAACACGATGAATACATTATGTGCTTAGTTCAGGGAGGTTTTTTTGTTTTTGTTTTTGTTTTTGTTTTTTTACCAGACTTTTGCTATAGGGCATGTGCGCTCGCTCAGTGGAGAGGCAGAAAGACAGAAAGGGAAAAATGCCCACGCCACAATTCCTTCTCCTCTGTCTGCCTCTTGGGATTTGGGGTGTACATCCACACGCGGCTGGCATGAGTTTCAAGTTGCCAGGTCCAGGATTCAAACCGTGGTTGGCCATTTGGGGAGTCCAGCAACATAACCATTACACCATCTGCTGGTCCCAGCTTTCAGAGAGGTTATGCAAAACAAAAGCAGAACTTGGCTGATCTTATTATACAAATGATTTCCTTGTTTCGTAAAAATGTTTTGTACATTCTTTTTAATAACACCATGTAACTAAATGTTCAATTACATAATAGGCTTATGAAGGTAAGGATTATGCCTATTTAATTTGCTTTTTACAGCAACTAAACAGCAGGATGACTTCACGATCTCTCATTTTTCTTCAACTCCTTAAGATCAAAAGCTGTGTAAACTTCAGTCTTTACTTTTTGAGAAGTCTCAATAAAATTATGTCACATCAAAGAAATCTATCCAAATTAATGCAGAATTAGGGACACAGAGGAAAAAAAGTCAAAATTAAATGACTAAAATACAATTAGCACTCTTCCTACAACATGTAGTTTTTTAAGAAGAACTTTTTAATGTTCAGAATATCCATTTGGTGTCCTACCACCGATTTCCAATAACAGAATGTCTTATTTCCTGTGATAATTAACATATCACGTGGACCTCAAAAATTAACAACACAGTAATGCAAAAGAAACTTTCAGAATTCCAGTGTACTGTCACTGCCTCAGATGTAATTCACGGTTTCCAGTTAAGAATGCATCTCTGGGTTGCCACGTGATTGCGCAGTAGGGATATCAACTGGACCCACCGGGAAACTCCTGAGTCCCTGTCCGAGACCTTTCTGAAGACACCAAGCACATGTGCGTGTTCCCATAATCTGGGCTGGCTGGGATGGGATGGATGGAGGTACGAGGACCTTACTGGGGTGTCTCGCTCTCTCTCTCCCGGGGTGGGGGGAACACTTTTTGTGGGAAGCTGCACACCAGCGAGTCTGCCGAGGTTTCTCAGAGAGCAAACAATTACCATGATTGGTTCCCTTCTAAAAACCTGACCTTCGAAACCTTGCTCTGATTGGCCACTAGAATCCCTCAAATTTGCATATCCGGCACCTCATGATTGGTCCAAAAGCAACCAATCATAACCCACCATTAACAACCAATCAGGGCCCACCATTTACAACCCACCAGAGTGTATATAACCACGATGCCTGGCCCACAGTAGCCAGACGACGACGACGACGACCGAGACGACGACAATGACCAGGAGGACGACAACTGAAGAGCCTGAAGAGCTGAAACACCGTGCAGTCTCCAGACGACCCTGAAGATCCTGAAGAGCTGACACTGCATCGTCTACAGACGACCTGGGAGACCCTGAAGAGCTGTAACACTACATCGTCTCCGGACGACCCTGAAGAGCTGTGATACCGCATCATCTCCGTGCTGCTCGCAGTAGACGACGCGTCCCTTAAGAGCTGTGACACTGCGTCGTCTCTGTGCTGTACCGTGCTGCCCACAATAAACAGACGACACTGTCGTCTCCGTGTT